CGGCTTCATAACCTCCTATATTTACATTAGTTTCTTAACTCCTCCACTGATAGGATTGTATTCAACAATTCGATCATGGAGGATGAGACAGTACGCTGGTGTGTTGGGTGCAAAAGGAAATGATGATTCAAATTCCAGACGAATATCAACTAGTCCGGTTTTCAAATAGTCATTCTGCTTGGAACAATCGATTACAATTAATGGTGCGTCTGTTAGAAATTTCTCTCTATTCAATAACGGCTCAGCTTCCTTTCCGTAGTAAGACTCCTGAAAGTTCACGTACATGTTGTATAGTGTTGAATACTGATTGAGGGCAATATCCAAATTCAAATTGCTATATGGATAGCTCTCTGAGTTGAGGAAAAGCTTCACATCTCTGATACTGCAATGATCGAAGTGGCTCGCATTGGCTGTCTGAATGTTTTTACGACTCGTTTGGAATCCAAGAATAACGTATCTTGGTTTCTCCAATTGAGATGATGTCTTCACAACCCAAACATGCTTCGAGGTTGCTGGGAGAAGAGGATACTCATACAATTCCCATATACGAAAGCCCATTGTAATGGGTGTGTTTTTTGCGATGAAATTGAGCAGCTTCACCTTGCGCTCGTCCGACACTTTAACATAGAGGATCAACCACTCAATCTTTTGAAGGTTGATCTTCCGTTTCTCCTCTGGGTTTTGTTGATTGACAGCTGTCTGAAGTACTGCACTGATGTCTGTTGTCGATCTCGTAATAATGAGTTCATGTTTTCCATTCACAACAATCTTCTGATAATCTTCAGCGAAGCCAAGTAGAAGACTTAATGGTGTAGAGATGTCGAAATATCCTGCATTATCAGTGATTTTCTCATTACTATCCATACTATCATTCTTGAGCCAACCTGCATTCTCCATCAAAAACCACTGGTTAGGACTCTGAGAAACATAATTTTTCATGAGACTCGTTAAACCCACATTTTTCGCTCGATCAATCTCTACACCATTGAGCTCATATCGCACTTCCTCAAACAGATGACAGATAGCGTTACTCACGAGTCTTGTTCTCTCGGCTGGTGTTGTTCCATTATCTTTGGTTAATCGACCATTAATATGCAGATGACTCTTACTGGGCAATAAACATAAATCTTGATGTTGCACAGTAATTGAAATTACATCATTATTACCGTAGCTTGATGAAGCAAAGGGTTGATGGGTATGCATCTCATAGTGAGAAACTGACTCATCGAAGATGATAGATTTTTGAATCTTCAAGATGTCTTCCATAATATATTATTTTTTCCTTATCTATGACTGGATTTACACTCGAGATCTCAAGTTTAAGCTCTTGAGGAATTGAATACTCTCACGTGTTAACGGTTTGATGGGTCTTTGACGACTGCTAGTCCTCTGGGGGGATGACTCCCTTTTATAACTCTTCCCGATCTTCGTTTGGAAAACAATACCCATTAGGTACGTTTGATGTGAAGTCTTATTGTAATTAATTCTCCTTGGAAGTTCAACAATTCACCATCCTGATCCACCAATCTCAGCTGGAGATGATCTATTGCTTGGACCACGATCGGAAGGTAAGTGAGATTCTTCGGCACCTCAATGACCTTATATCCTGGAGGCACAGTGGGAAAAAATTCATGAATGATGGGAGCTTTCTTCTCATTAATATACGCACCTCCAGTGATATTACACTCCACACACATAGAATTCACCTTAAGAATCCTAACTGGCAAATCAGATACGTGTGATTTATTAGGTGATAAAATTCTGTTATCAAATCCTAATAATCTACCAATCGAATCGGAAGGTTCAAAATTAATTGTATGATCACTTTTGATTTCACTGCACAAAGTATTATTATTGGCTTTTATGTTGATTGAAACACCTCTCTTTTGCAGAACCTTCTGCAAATAGTTTTGAATATCTTCAATCTCATAACTACCTTGAGGAACGCTGATTGTATACCTCTTATTCTCATTATCAGAGTAGTAGAATTTATTATTCTTTTCTGTAATATTTGGAATTGAATTGAATGTCAATAATTCAACAAGAGCCAAGCTGTAGTGATGATTGTGAGATAATTCAATGGGAGGAAAATAATTCGCTTCTAGAATAGAAGAGGTCCCCGACAGTGTTAATGTGAAAGATTCTCCCATGGTTGTCAGCAGTAAACTAACTCAATGAATGAATGTGAGCGATATTTATATCTGTCCTTTGAGAAATTTCAGACATAGATGACCACATATGATTGTGTCATACTCTTGATGCTTCTGATGATTATATTTGACAAGGCTACCAACACCGAAATAATCCATCAATTCTTTTGGTGGTTGTAAATTTCCAAAACTATCAAAATAAATGATTTCATTTTTCTGTTTCTTATATGCCACCCAGTGAGTGCCAGGACCATCCCTATCATCCAAATTCACTATAGCTGATTCATTTACCCGAGGTCCATTTAGGGGCAATCCATTTCTCATGTAAACTCCTCGGAAATATGGAATTTTCATGAGTTTGGAGTATTTTATGATATCAGCATCACTGAGGGCTCGGTGTGGTAGCTTTATGAGTTTTTTGGTTGCAAATGGAGTCCCAATCCTGTTTTATAGGGCTTCAGATACAATCCTTTACCCATTGAAATTGCTTCCATTGCTTGATTATGACGTTTACTCTCATCAAGGTACTGCTTAGCTGCTTTCGCGTCGTTCACAGCTTTTGCGATACCAGCAGCACCTCCAGCTAAAGCTCCCGTGGCACTTAACCCAGCAAATAAGGGAATCAAGAATGGTAGTACTCCACCAATTTTTCCGGGTACTGGTAATACTCTTGGCGATTTTACGGAGCGCTTTCCTCCAGCGTTTCGGACAGCATCTCGTGCAGCTTGAAGAGCTGATTTGATCGCTGATTTGATCGCATCTCCCGGGCGCATCGATTGTTTCGCCGCTTTGATGATGGTTTTGAGAGCAACATGCTTTTTTGCAGCAGCACCACGTCCACATGATTTCTTCTTTTTCACAAGATTTTTCCTACGTTTACTAGTTTTTCCCCCCACTCTTTTTTTCAATCCAAATCCAAAGCTGGTCTTGGCTTTCATAGCATTAGCTACAGCCCAAGCTGCAGCTTTTTCGCTCAAACCCGCGTCTTTTGACAATACACGTGTCCACGCTCTGTTTTCTAATACTTTATCAGCGTTATGTCTTGCGGAGAGATTCTCTCGATTCTTTGAATATGCGATATCGTGTTCCTTACACGCTTTATCGAGAAGATTGATCCCAGGATCACCGCGAGCTAACCTCTCTGACAGCTTCGTTCCTGGTCCACAATATTGATATCCGGGGATATGTAGTTCGATCGGTAATTTGTTGATTATCTTATTGAAAATTCCTCTTCCACTCCTCTTACATCCTCTCACTATCATAGCTCATGCTCAACTGAGCGTGAATGGTATATAAACCCACTATTTATATGTTTTCATCTCAGTTGAACATGAGAAGTCATGAGCAATACTCATCAAAAAATAAAGTTTGCGGAACAGGAAGTGAGATTACCCATTTTGAATTTCGATCAAGTAGTACAGAATGTAGATGATAAAATGAGAGAGAGACGTCATGGTGAATTACTACCGAATACAGTTCGAGCAATTTTTTGTGGACCTACCAACTGTGGTAAAACAAATGCATTATTGGCGTTGATCACACATCCGAATGGTCTTAGATTCGAAAACGTGTATGTGTATTCAAAGTCTTTGAACCAACCGAAATATGAGTTTCTAAGAAAAGTTTTAGAAGCAACGAATACAATTGGATATTTTCCATTCAACGAACATGAAGAAGTCATAAAACCTGAAGATGCGAACCCCAATTCCATCTTCATTTTTGATGATGTTGCGTGCGAAAAGCAAGATAATATGCGTGCTTTCTTTTGTATGGGGCGTCACCGAAATGTTGATTGCTTTTACCTTTGTCAAACATATACGCGTATTCCAAAACATCTCGTACGTGACAATGCAAATTTATTGATCTTATTCAAGCAGGATGATAAGAATTTGCGACATATTTATGAAGATCATGTCAACACGGATATGACTTACAATCAGTTCAAAGAGATATGTTCCTCATGTTGGAATATCGATAAATATAGCTTTTTAGTGATTGATAAAGATAGAGAACTGAATGATGGTCGCTATAGACGAGGATTCGATTGTTTTATAAATATATAATGCACATGATTTTTTCAAGCAGTCGCATCCAGAGCTTCATCATGACAAGTTCTATTTTGAATAAAGAGAAGCATGTGTTACAACAAATCGCAGACGCAAGTGAAGCAATTCGTGAAAAGCATAAACTAATGAAATTGGGGAGAGAAGATACAGAAAAAACTCTGAATGAAGTTTTCAAACCAGTGGTTACACCATTACAAAAACTAGTGGATCAAGCCTCTCATGATGGAATTCCTAGGAGAGCGAAGAGATATAAGAAGCGCAAAGTTCCCGATTCATCTGCTTCAAGGAAACGAGTGGTGGAAACAGATGATTCTAATATTCCAATAAAGATTCAACGAATGAAGGAAATGTATGATTCAAATATTCCTAGAAGACCACCATCAGAATCAGAGTTGAATAGAAATGTTCACACACCATCATCCTTCACCATGGAAACGAAAAATATTGATGATGAAGATGATTCTGATTCTGTGGAGGATGAAGATATGCATAATTTATCACAAGAATATATGCAATTATTCGACACTCCTGATGGGGATAAAAAATTGGGCTTGAGAACAGGAGTCCGCAAGTATAAAGGTAATTGGGTAATCGGGATAACCCCAATTAAATTTGAAGGGGGTACAATCGTGGTTGGTCATGAAAAATTTGATCAAACTCCAGGACTTCTCGAAATATTATTCAAAAAAGAACCCAATGTGGAGAAAATTACAGATGATGATAAGAGAGCATTCACGAAAATTGTGAAGATGACACATCTTGATAGGTAATATTTTAACCCAAAGAAAAGTTTGATGCGGCACAATACAGAAAAGTTTGTGAATTTCATGACTCAATTTCCTCAAGGGACAGGATTATCAAATCAAATGATTGCAAAGAGGAAACGTAATATCGATTATGTATACTGGGATGATCCAAATGAGCTGGTGGATCGACTCCGATTGTTGTATGCATCTCAAGCAGCTGGCAATAATAATCATAATAATGAAATAATTTCAATTATCGAGGAGCTGCGGGAGGCTGGATTGATATATTAGAAGTGAACACATCTTGAAAATATCAGTTACAAAATGAGCGTTGGTGTGTTTGGACGACAGTTGAATGCTCCTGGAGCTGCACCCCGGAATATTCAAGGACCCCCAGGTCGGGGCTTCAAGCTCACAGCAGATGGACAATTTGATATGAAGAACAAGCGATTATGTAACGTTGCTGAAGCAGTAGAAGATAATGATGTAGTTTCCATGAAGGTTGTCAAGCGGCTGATTGAAGATTTGCGGATTAATTTACTACAAAAACACATGACACAGAACCTTGAAGCCATTCGAACACTAGATGAGAGAGTGAAAACATTGGAGAGTTCAGGTAAAAATTCTCCAATCGAATCGAATGAAGATAATAGTATAGCAGCTGCACCAGAGTTTTCAGATAGTGGACAAAAAGTGAAACGTGTTAAGAGAAGTTCTAAAAGGTTAACTGAGAATGAAGGTGAAAAAACAAGGAAAAACTGAAAAGTTTAAGGCGGAAAAAGAAGCTCTAGTTGAGGAACTCCACAGACCTGCGCGTAGGAATTATCCCAGACGCAGAATAGATATACGAGGTCTCAATGAAACTTGGCAAGCTGATCTTGTGGATATGTCAGCATATGCTAAAGAAAATGATGGTTATAAATTTCTACTCACAATTATCGACATTTTCTCTAAATTTGCATGGGCAGTACCCATTAAATCAAAAAGTGGATTGGATGTAACAAAAGCTATGGAATCTGTACTCAATCAAGGTCGAGTACCTCAAAAGCTACATGTTGATCAAGGAAAAGAATTCTATAACAAAGAATTCAAAAATCTGATGCAAAAATTTGATATAAAAATGTATTCAACGTTTAGTAATTTAAAAGCGTCGATTTGTGAACGATTCAACCGTACGTTAAAAGAGCGAATGTGGAAAAAATTCTCTCTCCAAGGATCATACAGATGGTTCGATATACTTCCTGACATTATATCATCTTATAATGATACAAAACATCGAACAATTCATATGAAACCCAAGGATGTGAATGAAACGAATCAAAAGTTCCTTCGTCACCAAGTTTATGGAAAATTTTTGAACAATAGAGTTAAAGAAGCGAAATTCAAAATCAATGACAAAGTGAGAATCAGCAAATATAAACATGTTTTTGAAAAAGGCTATACACCCAATTGGACAACTAAAATTTTCAAGATCATTCGCGTGAGGAGGACTGAACCAACTACTTATAAATTGATTGATTATCAAGATAATCCTATTGAAGGAAGTTTCTATGAGGAGGAATTATCTAAAGTTAAGCATCCTGATGTATACCTGATTGAAAAAGTGATTAAAAAACGAGGAAATAAATTATATGTGAAGTGGTTAGGCTTTGATGATTCTCATAATAGTTGGATCAATGAGTCAGATGTGTAATGTGCAGAGATGTTTTTTTTATCTACTTGATGTGTATCATTTGTGAAAAGGAAATAAAATTGAAAAAAAAACACAAAATTTTGGTATATTTATATTTATTTTTCACCTTAATCCTAAATATACAATGTATGAAAATATATATATTTATAATTATACACTTGGTTTAGTATACCCCCAAGGTAAGGTATCTATCATGTTCATAGAAATTATACGCTTATCATCTTCCCAGTTCAATGCTAATTTCTTCTGACAGATTGTATGCACCCCNGATTGTATGCACCTCATGTTTCTTACTCCGGATCAAATATTGATCTTTCACAACATGCTCATTATTGAGGAGACAGTTCTTATAGTCATTAAAAGTGATTTTCCTGAGTGTAGCAGCTTTAACACCCTTAGCTTTCTTCTTAGCTTTTTCGTCATCCAACATCCTGAATGCGTATGTCTTCGCTCGCAATCCCACAAATTCAACCATGATTTTACCATTATTCTCATCCTTCATAAGACAAAATACTTTCTTGTTTGCTAGCGGCATTCCATAAACATTATCCTCTTTGTAGTCAGAGGTATCGAACATGGGTATGTCTCATTTAACACACTCATAGATATTGGGTACTTTGAACAAATACAATAAATTATCTGTATCTGTGTACATCAATTTCGCGGTGCTCCCAAATTGAGTTTTGACATAGTTGTAATGGAAGTCATACACAACCGTTTTCGATAAATCCAGGATGGCAAATCCAACGTAGATGGGTTTCTTGAAGTTCACTGACGTCCAATTCATTTCAATGATAACCATATCATCANTTCGCGGTGCTCCCAAATTGAGTTTTGACATAGTTGTAATGGAAGTCATACACAACCGTTTTCGATAAATCGAGGATGGCAAATCCAACGTAGATGGGTTTCTTGAAGTACACTGACGTCCGATTCATTTCAATGATAACCATATCATCGTCGAAGATCATACAGCTATGAAAATTAGGTTTTGCTATCAAAGCTTTTGCTCCATACCGACCACCCCAGTGTGTAACGAGCTTAATATCTTTCTGTTTTCTAACATTCTCCATCGTTTTTCCGAATACAGCAGTATTCATCAATTTGTAAAAGTTTTTTTCGAATTCATTCTTTGATGCCTTGTCTCTTCAGAGTATTCAGTTCAATGTAGGGTTTCAACCAAGGCTC